TTCCTGCTGCTCTGCACACTCCCTCTGCAGATGCTGTTCCCTCTGCCAAACAGACTTCTCCCCACGCCATTCCAACCCCCTTACTAACTCCCCTCCCGCCCTGGCTGCTTTGGGCACTTGTGTTGAACACGCCCCTGGTGCTCTCTGCCTTCCCTTCTGAGCGCTAAACTCGGGCTGCACAGCAACACTCACTGGGTGACTGCGTCGTTACCTTGGCCCCACCACACACACACACACACACACACACACACACACAAGACTGTGAGCTTGCTTAGGCCGGTTTGATCACTGTGGTATCCCTGGTGCCCGCACACAGAAGAGCAGAATCCACGCTTATAGGATGAGCCATAGGTGAGGGAGTGAGGCAAGGCACCTGCCTGACCTGGGCAGGGGACACATGCCCTGGTTTGCTGGGGGAGGCCCAGTTTTCATCTGTCATCCAGTATAATAATTATGGTGCCCTTATTCACTCTCAAGTGTCCCAATCAGGTGACATATTAAATGGTCAGCCTAGTTATTAGAAAGGAGAAGGGCTTCACCCCAGAGCTTCTGCTCCTTCCCAGCCCCCACCCTGGCTTCCCATTTTTTCCCTACAAGCCCAAAGCTTTTACTTCTTGTTCTTGAGATCTTTTTCTTCTGTTAATAATCTCCCTACATTGTCCCCAAGCCCCCAGAAATAAATAAGAATTCTATTTGTCCATTTTACTGCAGAACTGTCCTCCTGGAGGGTTGCCATGGTGACCGAATGATGTCACTGCCCTGGAAACAGTTGCCTAGGAGATGAGTGATGTCACTTCCAGGAGATGACTGCCATGGAAACCCTCTTGGAACTAGGGGGTGGCCAGGAAAGTGAAGGAGGGGTGGAGGGCGGATGCAAAAGGGACAGATGTGAAAGGAGGAAGGAAAAGGGAGGGGGGAGAGCAGGAAAAAGGCCAGGAAGAGGATGGGGACCATCCCAGAGCAGTTGAAAATAACAGAGAATCACAGAATCTCCAAAATGCAAAAGTGCCCAGAGACCACCCCAAGCACCTGCCTCGTTTTTAGAGGCCGCTGAGAGGTGAGGACACACTCAAGGTCACACCACCAGTTTATAGGTTATGTTAGAACCAAGCTCAAGGGCTCATGGCCCTCGGTTTCTTACATGGCTCATTGGTAGATTTGGGCGCAAAAATGAAGGATTCCTTTTGGTCATTTCTTTTGTCAAAATTCCGGCCTCAGATCAGTCATTTACTAATGAAGTCAACAAATTCTTATTGTGAGCTGTGTGCTAGATGCTGAGAAGAACCTGAGTGGCATTTTCATAGTTACTGTATTATTTTATATTTTTATTGTATCCCCCACTAGTGTTAGCCCCACAAGGACAGGTAATTCACCAAGGTATCCACCCCCAGCATCCTGCCCAATGCCTACCACATAGGAGCTCAACATGTTTGTTAACAAGACAGGTGATGAATGCCATCATGTGGTGCATACCCACAGTACAGGAGCCCAGAGAGGGGCTCACAGTAGCTGGCAGGGAGGTGGGATTTCCTAGGTAGAGTTTGAAGAGGCCAAGATCAGAAAGCCATTCAGGACGGCAGAGTAAAGACCTGAGCCAAAGTGAGAGCAGGCTGAACAGGTGGGTCCAGCTGGGCATGCTGTGGTCCACCTCTTCAGTCATCCTGTAGCTGTAGCCCCTACGGGTACCTCCCTTCTGGTAGAAGGAGCCCCGAGGATCGGAGGAAGACAAGCATCAAGGTCCATGTCCCTGGATATGCCTGGGGGTGGGGGTGGGGCAGCAAAAAAAAAAAAAAAAGGCTGATCCGGCTGAAGAGGCAAATGTAAAGAAAGTAACAGAGAAGTGGGCTGGAGGGAGGAAGAGGTCCCATCAATGGAGACCTGGACTGTCAGGCTTCCAGGCTCTGCCTGAAGGTGACACATTCAAGACAAGAGCAAGGGCCTTGGAGCCCCACACAGATGCTCTGCCCCTTCCCAACTGCGTGACCGCATGAAAGTCACTTTTCCTCTCGGAGCCTCCTGACTGGAGCTACAGCCCAGTTCACAAGAATGTTAGCTCTGAATTGAAATGCATGTAAGGCCCCACTTTGCAGGTGATCGCTGAGTCACCCGCAGAAGGCAGTCAGCAAATGTCCTTTCCCTCTCCCTCCTGGTACAGCCTCTGCCCTTCAGACCAACATGGGAGCTGTACTTTGGGAAGATGAACTTGACAGTGGATTCCTTCGTCTTTAGCTCCCCAGCCTTTTGGAGCCCTTCCTTTGCTTGGCAACACAGGGGCCCACGGTCCAGGGGAGGTGGAGGGGAGAGGTGCCCGGCAGGGAGGGCTCAACCAAATCAGAGGTTTCATAAGAGACGCCATTTCATTAGGCCCTGAAGGAAGGATTTGATTTGGGTAGGATGTCACAGAGGCTGGAGAAGAAAAGACAGAGACTAGAGAGGCAGAGGGGTTAGCTATTGTTATGACTTTTCTAGAACTCCTTTTCTCCAGGTGGGGATCAAAAAACCCATGGTGTGGTGGGAAAAGCCTTGAGGTAGGACTGACCCGGTTTTATCTCAGTGTTACCTCTTACCAGCTACGTATACCACCTGATACCTCATCTCCTCATCTGTTAAAAATAGTATCATTCTGGGACTTCCCTGGCAGTCCAGTAGTTACGACTCTGTGCTTCCATTGCAGGGGGCATGGGTTTGATCCCTGATCGGGGAACTAAGATCCTGAAAGCCGCGAGGCCCTTGTGTCATTCCTACTGTCCAGGGTTGCTGTAAAGACTCAGAGACCATGCACTTAAGGTGCCCAGAACACACAAGGTGTTTGAAATGGTTGTTTCCATCAGCCCAACGGCTGTTCTTTGTAACAGAAGATGATCTGTTCAGTCCCACTCAGCTGTGACTCATTGCCTGTGCCTGCCCCATAGTTTGGAGGTCTCCTGAGAACTGAGGACCCCCTCAGCCTCTGAACGGCAGGTCCTGACTGCTGAACATAGCCTATTTTACAGAACCAAGAGGCATCCTGAGCTTCCCAATCCCAAGTGACTTAAGATGGCCAAGTATTTACCCGACAATAGCTCCATTATCAAGAATCCTACCCTTTCCTCCAACTCAAACAAATGGACCTTTGAGCAGGGTTTGAGGAGTAATTGAAAATCTGAGCATTAGTTAGCATCAATATATTTAAATGTTCCTTTCCAATTATAATTCATTCAACTCTAAGTGAAAATATTAAAAGCACTGAAAGTGTCCCCATAATAGGATGTGTGTCACATCCATTTTTTCTTCTCAACCCCAAGACTGTGGCCTGGTGAAAAGAACCATAAACAAGGATTTAGGGGACCTGAGTGCTAGTTTAGGTTCTGTCACTAACTTTGCAGTGAGACTCTGGGAAAGCCATTCATTTCTCTGGTCTTGTTTCCCTTGCAGTAACACTGAGATGACCCCATCTCATTTCATAAATTTATCTTGACAAGCTTTTTTTGTCTTTTTACTTTGATACTGACAAGTTTTAAAACATCAGTGTGCAGAACTGGAAGGAAGCCTTTGAGATCACACAATAGGGAAGGCTTCAGCTTTACGCCACGTGTAATTTCAAGTCCTCTCAAAGAACCCCATTTACCACTTGTAGGGCTGATTGGAATTGTGTGCCCATACTTCCCCACACCCCATTCCAAGGCCCAACAGGATGCCTTGCACATGGTACTTTGGGTTGAATTAAATCTTATATTCCAAATCCTACTCTTAAAAAACGAGGGGCCTGAGCCTCAAAGGTTGTCGGCTGCCTGGAGCCTACCAGAGGGCAGTTAGGACTCTGAATTTAAAGGTCGTGGGCAGAGGCCGTCCTGTGGCACCAGCTGATTCCAGAGGTCCACCACCTCTGCAACTCAGTTTCCTCCTCTGTAAGGTGGGGACAAAACTTTTCACAAGATGGTTGTGAAATGAAAACGTTAAGTGCTTTTTCTAAAGCCCTTTCTGTGAAGTGCACTCCAAATGTACGAAGTTTCAACGTCTACGAATTTTTATCAAAGGCAAGTGCCTTAGACACATAAAGCTCATGGCTTTAAAATACCTGACCTGCTAATTGAAGCAAAACCCATAACGATTTTTGCTGGCAATTAGGTCAACTTGAAATAGGCTTCCTAAGAACTACTTATTAGCATGTGGGTCATCCCTCTACTTCAGGATGAGAAAATAGGTTAAATGTCCATGCTCCACCACAGTGTAGGTTCAAGGACAGAGACTGGGCGTGGCCACCTCCACCAGTCTAGTGTCAAGCTTCAGTCAAGAATAAGGTGTTTAGGGCCTCTGTGTACCTGAACCAATCCACTCGACAAGCATGTCCGGTCCCAGGCACCACACTGGAGGTGACAAAAATCGTGAGTGGCTGGAGTCCACATCACCCGGGGAAGGAAGAGTCCACTTGGTGATGCAGGGCCTCAGGAGCGGCCTGAGGTGCAGGCAGATGGGGAAAGTGCACTAGAGGCCAGGCCATTCTCTTTCTTAAACTCAGAGGGAGGTCTGCTGTCTTATTTTTTAAAGAATACTCAAAGCTTTCTTAATAATGATCACTAAAGTTTATTTCAGGGATCCCTAATTAACATTTTATTCCATCTAGTGCAAAAGAATATTAAGAAAAACTGAGAACATGTACCCACTTTGAGTGATACATAGCAACCAATGTTCCAGTAGGCTGAGTGGAGCTACACCCTCAAAGTCAGATCCAGAGGGGCTGTGCCATGGAACACGGCATTGGGGTCTGCTCGGCTCCTCCCATACAGGCACCAGCAACAGGAAGAGGGGATCAGAGAGGCTGTTAGCTGGGTTCACACAAAACTATTTAAAATTCATGAGTCTTTTGTGTACACTGCAAAACGTGTGATGGAATCAGGGGGCACCAAGACTCGCTATTCCAGAAATGCTTCAGGGTTTGAGAGATCAAACCAGGATTCAAAGCGGTGAGCCGTGATAGGGCTCCTTGAGAGCAGGAAAAACAAAGACCATACACACATAGATAATATCCCCAAAGCAGCATTTATTTACCCACTGAATTCCAAAACATTTAATTTAGAAGTCTGGCATTTCATAATTACCCATCTTGATCGACATGGGCTGACACACATGGCGCTGTCAGGATACACAAGGACAATAGCCAAATAGTTACAAAAAAATAAATCCATGATTCTTAAACAGTCGCAACCAAAAAAAAAAAAAAAGGTACAGGTATCAAAACTTTAGATGCATTGCATTGAAAAGAAGGTTTGTGCACATCATAATTTAAAGAGGCAAACAAGGCGCTACTGAAACCTCACGTTAAAGTTTATTATTAAGCTGATGGAAAGGAGCAAGTGGTCTCTCATATCAGCTTCCCTTAACAGTTTTCCATTAGCTAAGAAAGAGGTGGGGGGGTGAATTCACTTTTGCATGCACAGATGTACTGCTTTAACAAAACACTAGCAGCTGGTTTTAAGTGGACCATTTAAATACCAACTGTAGCCTGTGTGGTTAATTCTCCTAACTTCCCCGAGGCTTTCGCCTGCACTTCACCTAGATCAGCAGGCATAGGAAAATGCCTCCTTCAGAATGCACCTGTCTGCACAATTCAGAAAGGGAGCCCCTGTGGGCTCAAAGCAACCATCAGTCCAGCAATGCCCATAAATTTATCTGGAACTGCTTCCCGGGGGCAGAGAGCAGATCTGAGTAGCTGTGCTGCCATACAGATAGGTTTAGCACTAGATACTTAGTGACTGTGGTGAGGAAGGACCGGTGGTGATGGGGTCGGGGCGGGGGTGGGCCGAGGCGCTCAGTTGCCTTCTCCGGCTTCCTCGTCCTGCTGGTCGCTCGTCCAGAGGGTGAGGTTGTCTCGCAGCAGCTGCATGATGAGCGTGGAGTCCTTATAGGAATCCTCGTTTAGTGTGTCCAGCTCAGCTATGGCGTCATCGAAGGCTTGTTTGGCTAAGAGGCAGGCCTGCTCGGGCGCATTCTGGATCTCGTAGTAGAACACGGAGAAGTTGAGGGCCAGGCCCAGCCGGATGGGGTGTGTTGGCTGCATGTGCTCCTTGCTGATTTCGAAGGCTTCCTTGTAGGCTGCCTCTGAAGCTTCGACCACACTGTTTTTCTTCTCGCCAGAAGCCACCTCTGCCAGGTAGCGGTAGTAGTCGCCCTTCATCTTCAGGTAGAAGACCTTGCTCTCATACTGGAAGTCATTGCAGTTCTTGATGAGGAACTTGTCCAGCAGGGCCAGCACGTCATTGCACACTGTTTCCAGCTCCTTCTCAATCTTCTCCCGGTAAGCCTTAACCTTCTCCAGCTTCTTCTCATTCCCGTCAGCCGTGGTTTTCTGCTCGATGCTGCTGATGACCCTCCAGGAAGACCGCCGGGCACCGACCACATTCTTGTAGGCCACGGAGAGGAGGTTTCGGTCTTCATTGGAGAGAGGTTCGTTGAGCTCGGTCACCTGCAACATCCCCAAAAGATAAACACTGAGACCCGAGTCTGAAAACCCTGGAGAGAGATCTTCCCTTCAACCCAGTCAACAACCCTCCTCAAAAACAGGATTACGGACAAGCCACTCAAGAAAAACCAACTGGACAAGGATCCTATCTGAAGGGAGACTGCAGTCTAACAGAAGAGATAGATAATAACTCAAAATATTAGTGATAAGGACTCTGAAAAAGTCATAATAATTTAGGCCTTCTAAGATGCCGCCTTCACCTTGGCGGAGGTGTGGGGATAAAGATGTTGATGGAAGGTTGTGAGGTGCTGGTGCACAAGGAGGTGGTGGGGAAAAGCCCTGAGGCTCAGCTATTCTGCGTAAGACATTCTCACAGTAAAATCATACAATTCCTTTGTCAAATGTCCAAAGGTTATCACAGACTGGAAGTCTACTTCCAGCTTTCTATTCTAGAAAGAACCAATCACACCTCCCTCAAACACTTATTAACAAAGAAGAGTTTCCCAGATGAGCTCAAACACCACACAGATCTAGTGGCCAGAGTTTCACCCTGGTTACACGTGGAACCCACTGGTAAACCCAGCCCTCCCCCAACCCAAAACAGATGCATTAGTGACAATAAGGTGTCCCCAGCCTCTGCTGAAAGGAGGCATAACTACTCAGCAGCAAGCTTTACTCTGACCTACCTGACAGGAAACCCTGACTGCCCATCAAGGATGGAAGCACCAATTATTTTAAGTGGAAACGTTAAATTTCAAATTCTTCATGACGCCAACGGCAAGCGAGCCAGCTGTGTCATCAGTAGAAGGAACACTGGACTTTGCTGTGCTGAGCTGTGCCACCAAAAAGTCATGTTGAAGTCATAACCCCTGGTACCCATCAACGTGACCTTATCTGGAAACAGGATCATTGCAGGTGTCATCAAGTCAAGATGAGGTCATACTGCATAAGGTGGATCCTAAATCCAATGACTGGTGTCCTTATAAGAAAAAGGGAGATCTGAAGACGAAAGCCATTGCCATGTGATGATGGAGGCAGAGACTGGAGTGATGTGTCTACAAAGGCCAAGGATTACAAGGATTACCAGGAGCTACCAGAAACGAGGAGGGGCAAGGGAGGATTTTCCCCTAGAGCCTTCAGAGGGAGCACAGCCCTGCCAACACCTCAATCTCAGACTCTAGCCTTCCAAACTGTGATAAAATACATTTCTCTTGTTGTAAGCCATCCAGTTTGTAGTGGCTTTGTTTGGTGGTCCTAGGAAATTAATACAGACTTAGAATCAGAAAACTCTGGGCCGCAGCAAAGCCACTAACACACTAAATTGGCCTGTATCTTCTATAAAGTGGGGGGATTCCTCAACTATGTTACCTACTGGGAAAGGTCTTTAATTTTAAAAACAGAAAAAGAAAAAAGAAGAGCACTTAGAAAACCACAAAACTCAACAAAAAGGCATTACTTAAATCAAACTATAAGGACAGAACTTGCTCCAATGGAAGGGAAAAGCCAAGTGTGATGGAGAAACTTATTAACAACATAATAAAACAGACATGCTTACCATGGATTAAGAAGACTGAGCAGTAGAGAATCAGAAGTTTAAAAAAAATGAATTAAAAAGGATGATAGGTCTATTTGAAAAATTAGTAGTTCAAGAACATAAGCAACAAATGTAATCATTAAACGTGTAAAATTAGAAAACTTGTGCCAAGTTCTTAAAAGTGAAACACGCAACTGTCTACCACCACCTCCCTCCTCAACAAATCCCAGACAAAATAAAAATACCAGCTCCCTCTTCTAACTTCCCCATTTCCCTGTCCCCAGAACCCCTACTCTTCTGCTGCAAATCGTTAGCCAGGGATGGCCTCTCCCTCTTTGCCTAGTCAATCAACCCAACCCACTTCCTCCTTCAGTGTGGTCTTCAGCTACAAGCCGCCCCTGACATTCCCCAGGAGGGCTGCCTGCAAGCCCGGCTCCTCATTCCTCCCCACAAAGACAGGAATGGTCTCCACGCTGGTCTGGGGCAATCCCCTCCTCTCTACTAATCCACAATCCATGCTCCCCTCAAGATCTGTAACCCCACTAGTTTTCTCCTTCAGGGAGTGCCTTTAAACACACTTGCTTACTAAAAGTATAAAGAGACATTGTAGATATTTTTCTGATAATTTGGCCTCTTAAGGAAGCAACCCTTATAAATCAAAATTCCATCTCGAATACTAAGACAAATCTCAGAATGCTTGAATCCTTTAGCATGACACTTTTCTAGGCCAATATTCAGTAAGACAAAACATGAGGCAAGAAAAGAATTTGAAAAGCTCCTCAGATCTTCCAATAAGTAAATCCAACTAAGGCCACTTGATGTTAAAATGCAAATGACATCCATAAGGAGCCACTATATACTTCATCCTGCGACCAGTAAAGCTGCTTTTGTTGGACTACTGCAAAGACACCTCAAAGTATGTCCCCAGAGCACATCATTAAAATTGAGTGCATATCTGAAATATTTATATACCACACAGTGTTTGCACAAGGGGTGGTATCATTACTCAAAAAAAATCTTAAGGGCTTCCCTGGTGGCACAGTGGTTGAGAGTCCGCCTGCCGATGCAGGGGACACGGGTTCGTGCCCCGGTCCGGGAAGATCCCACATGCCGCGGAGCGGCTGGGCCCGTGAGCCATGGCCGCTGAGCCTGCGCGTCCGTCCGGAGCCTGTGCTCCGCAACGGGAGAAGCCACAACAGTGAGAGGCCCGCATACCGCAAAAAAAAAAAAAAAAAAAAATTCTTAAGACATCTAGAGTTTAGCCTGAGCTAGCTGTGTGACATTCAACAGAACACAGCTTTTCTGGGCATCAAAAGTCAAATAAGGGGGACTAGCCCAAACAGTCTCCAAGGACTTCTTCAGCTCTGAAATCCTAGGATTCCATTTTTCCTGAGCAACTATAACAGGTGTGGTAAGGCCTGAGGTCAATACTATTGAATAGCAACATAAATGTGGGTGTATCTGTGGGTTCCAGGAATCTGAGGATCCCTGCTCCATCAGGAATAAAATGCCAAAAAAGGCTCCTGGACAATATGTATGACACCTTCACAAGACAAATCAGTGACTAGGAGTGTCAGTGTTTATGCAACGATCACCTGGTGGCCTGCCAGTCTGAATGAATCACTATCGGCATCAGCTGAGTGTGACTAACGGCTACACAGGCATTGTTCTCAGAACCCCAGCCAGGGCCTAACTAGGAAATAACTGGATACGTTTAAATATAATACTCCTGGATTACAGCTCGGTTAACAAAAGGAAACTTATGGGAGGAAGACAGTTTTATTACTTGATCGGATAACTAAAGAAAATTGGGAGTTTTCCCCAGATTGGAAAATTACGGACTGAAGTAAAATCAGATGGCCTATTAAAACAAGATTTACAGCCAGTCTTGGCTGGTGATACTTACTGCAAATAACCTTCGCTAATGTTAGTTAGCACGAGTTCCCAACACTTCAAATTCCAAAATACGGGAGCCAGGAGACTTCAAGAGAAGTCTCGTCACCCACTGAGAGGCGCAGACACTGGGAAGCAAACGGTGTAGGGAAAGGAAAGCAGGAACGGGTCCCAACCACCCTAAGACTAAACCAGCGGGATGGCCATCTGCGGAGTCTACGGAGATGATTTACTGCATCTCAACAATCACAAGTTTCTAAATGGTTTCTAATAAGGAACAAAGACTAGACACGGATTTCTCGAGATAGAAGAGACCCAGACAAAGGTTCTCAACCTTCTTCCTGCTCCAACTCCAGTTTCAACACTCTCGTTTCCGTCGCACACCAGGTGCGCCCAGTGCGGCCACCCCAGACATTATATCTTCACGTGGCTATACCAGCTGCAAGGGGTTCCACCACCTCTGCTTGCAGCCACCCTGCTGTCTTGTTCTCCTGTCCACCTCCCCACCCCAGGTAATCCTACTTACAGGCTTCCTGAAAACCTTAAATTGATGGACCCTTCCCATTCAGGAAGGCTCTCCTCTCATCTCCTTTGGGGACTGGACTCCCTGCCAGCCATTCTGCTCATGTACGTCCTCACCACGCAGCCTTTGGCTGCACCAACTCCTTTCACCCATTTTCTCTGCTCTGGACTACACAGCATTTCTGAAAGTCACGAACAACCTGGTCAGCTACGAATTCATTTATCTTCCTATGACACCACTGGCTTACTCAAAAATCCCTAAGGGCCTCCTCCCACTAACTCACAAGGCAATAAACTATGTGTTTGTGAGTAAAAATAGACCCGCTGCCAAAAACAGCCCACGGACTATTTGGGAAAACTTAAAGTTCTCAATCTGGGAAACATCCAACCTCAGAAGGAACACTGAGCAAACAAAAAAACATCACCCCTGAGCTGCCAAGCCACACTGCTCAAGTTGGGGTTGATGCGACTCCTCCTGAACAGCACTCTCATCCTTCACAGCTACACACACACAGCACAGCCACCACCCCGAACTTTATAGCTACCCACACCCACATGCTACCAGCAAGCTTGCTTTTGATATAAGAGCTTATAACAGAAAAAAACAATCCTCATGATTATGTAAACATAACCACATCATAAAATCTTTAAGCTTCTTTGGCAGAACCCTGTATATATTAAAAAAAAAAGAAAAGAAAAGAAAAGTGAGCTTGAGGGATGAAAGCTTTTTTGGCTGATTGTTTCCCAAGTTAATGCCCCGAAAGTGAGGATTCTGCCTGTACCTCAGCTGGCAAAGCACCTGCCATTGGTCACCACTTGCCCAAGCCTGGAAAGACTGCCCTCTGTCTAAACCAGGGCGAGGCTGCAGTTCTGCAAGGCTGGGAGAGGGGCCAGCTTCAAGCTCAGAGCAGGTGAGTTCAGGTTATGAATATTCACTGTAAGCTTAACATTAGTCAAAATAGCTCGCTTTGCACTGTTAAGAGACCACCTTTGTCTTGCTCTGAACATAAGTAAACATTTTCACAGGTCTTGGCAGGCATTATACATAGCCCCATCTGAACAGCGTCACTCTACCCTACTGCCCCTGAGGCACCAGGACCGAAGGCTTCAGAAGCTGTGCCAGTTCTGATCACAGGGAAGTGCCAACACCCACCACCAAGGAGGGGATGCCACTGCGGCGAGGAGTGGGAGGGGCAGCCTCAACCTGGACACTTGGGAGCATCTCACCAACAACCTAGACACTGAAATTTGGGGGCCTCTAGGCTTACAAAATATACTAAAAGCAATATGGAAAAACAATTTCCTAAAACACCACAACTATAATGTAACATAGTCTTGCACTTCTCAATTCATAGCAGGAACTCAAATTCAATTAATACTTTGCTTCTTAAGCAAAAAAACTGGTCTTCAAGAGAACAGCACAATCCAGATGAGTCTGCCTTTCATGCTCCCCTGCTGCAGCTAAGAACCGTAAGTGGTAGATTCTGTTTTTAATCAAACTTGGCAAAAATGACTTACATCTAATAGAGGGAATTATTTGTTCAGTAAGCCCACTTATGTTAACGGCTTGGAACTTAGTCACCAATGATGACAATGGCTAATAGACCAGAAAGTATACTAGAAAGAAATATGATTCCTTAGCCTCATGGGGCATTGTCACAGTGGTTAAAGTGATAGCTCTAAATTTGAGAGTTCAAATCTTCCCTTTACAGCTCAACCTTGAGAAAATTAATCTCTTCAAATCTCATTTGTAAAATGGAGTTAATAACAGGATCCATCCAGAGTTGTTCACAAGATTAAATGAAAATGTACACATGGAATAAAAGCTACCATTTACTAACTGCCTAATAGGTAAGATGATAAATTTCATAAACTTGATGAATTGTAACATGGAAAACACATCTGGGGTATCCCCTCCCAAACCGTTTTTCTGGAAAAGTGTGACACTGCAGTCTACCACTAATATTAAATTCCAGACAGTGATGAGAAAATACATTTTTGGTTTCCTTAAGGGAGTAGTGAGGTCCTTGACTGTGGGAGCTCTTCCGGGGATAATGCAGCAACCCCAAATTCAGATGGGGACAACTCCCACGTCAGTGCAGCAAAGCTATGTGAACTGTTCACCAACTGAAGTGTCTTTCAACTGAGGATATTGCAAGAATAATGCAGAGACTTCTTCCTTCCTCAGTCAATACGTGACAAAGCGATACTTACATGGGAAACACGACTTGCTATTTTACATAGATTTCAAACGGTCCTACCAATGTGGCTTTAAGATGTCACACTAACCACAATTCTGGTACACCTCAAAATCATCCCTAGTTTCAATAACTGCAACACGGGTTAGGTCTCACCCTGGGCCACTCAGCTGTGCTCTCCTTTTACATACCACCTGCTCACTTCTCCACTTCCCAGGATCTCACAGCTGTTGGAATAACAGCCTCTGGCCACTGGTTGGACCTCTTCCCCTCCGACCCATTTCCTTAAGCTGCAGCTTTGTTGCCTGCACTTAAGATTGCTACAGATATTCTTCAAGTCCTTCAGACATATTTCTCCCCGTCCTTTGTCAACTTTGTAATCAATGTTAAAACACACCATGCCATCCCAAACAATTTTGACATTTTAAAACTTCATGATTGCCCCTATGTTTTAATATAAAAGATGACCAAGGGCAATAAGTGACATGACTAAATTATGTCTGTCCATGAATATTCACTAGAAATCTATCTGGTTAGTTACCCTCTTTCCTTAGAATCACTTAGTATTATGCACAAGTATTTTATGGGTTTATCTCGTAGTTCTCATAAGATGGTACTGTACTCATTTTATAGAGGTTATGAATTGTATAAGGGCATTCCAAGCCTGGTCTAGAAAGGACTTGGGTTCGAGAATCTTTCACAGTGTTTCTTTCTAGTTAAGGGACAAGGTACGAGATGGGGGAGAGCTGGAAGAAACGTCTTTACTTCACTTCAAAAACATTTCTTGCCTCTTCAAATTAGGACGAAAGGCAGGGAACTGCAGTTCTCAACTGATGTGAGCCAACACCTTTGTTTCCAACATGCGTGATTTCTTAAAGCCTTACTGACAGCATCCTCCAGGTGACGCTGGTAGCATACGGGACATCAATCATTACAGGCAGGCAATATTATTAGCTACCACTTAAATTATAAAGGAAACAGAAAACAAGTTAGAAGAATGAAAGCTGAAAGCCCACTTGATAGTAGCACCAATATTACACCTTACACACTTCAGAGGACCAGAAGACAAGAGATGTGAGCTTCAAGGTCACAGAGTGGTGGCATCAGAACATCCCCTCACTCAGGTGCGGTAGAGAAGCCTACTTACCTGCCCTGAAGAAAACCCACACAAGCCCAGAGGGTTATCAGAATTCCAGCTCTTTCCAAAAGCTATATTTTAGGTCTATGATATTAATGAAATGAGACTGAGTCTTCTCAATAACATTAAGAATTTAACATACAAACATCAACTTAACAGGTAAAACATGAGAAACAGTTTTCCACTGACCCTTGCCAAGTCCTTTCCAATAAATATATTCCATTAATTTAGATGACCAAAAAAAAAATTATTTAATAGAAGAAACAGGCATACTGACCAAAAAAGTTCTTATTTTTTAATAGGAGTTGCCTTGAGGGAATGTTTATCACAATTCTGAAATGACATAATTAGAGTATGCACTGAATTTTCAATGGCCTATCCAACCCATCAATCATCTCAGATACAGATATTACATATTCCCAATACATGAAAGGGTCCATTAGTTTGCAAAATCCTACCTTAATGTCTCAGAGAAAATCTGTGTACACAAGTAGGTAGCTGCAGGAAAGCATCTTTCAAGCCTGCTTTCGAAGACCAGAAAACCAATTATTTTCTCTCCACAAACTGTATTCCATTCGGCTACATCTCTGCATTCTTTCCTTACTTCCAATTTCAAGTTGCCTCGGGTTTCCTATAGCTCCAGAACTACATTCTAGTCATTTTCCCTTAGCCTCAATTCACTTTGCTTCCAGCGCCATCCCTTCTTTATTCCCCAAAAGGCTCCTAAAACTGCGGCCTTCAAAGTGCCACTTGCAGGATAGGCGAGGGCCTCGCTAAAATGTCCAGAAAGCGGCCTCAACCGCACAATCCCAGTTCCACTCGGTGACTGGGGAGAAGAGGCGCACTTAAGTGTCACTTGCTGTGTGGACAGAAGTGGCTTTATCCCAAAGAAGATTAAGCTCAGGACCCCTTCCAAGGAAATGCACTCAGTCAGTCCTGTTTCTGTGAAATTTGCTAAACTCATATACCCTACTTTTTTTTTCTTATAAGACCCCCAGAATTACACAGACTTCAGGTCCCAAACCTAAATCGTCCCTGGTCTGGATGAAAAGCTCCTACCTGGCCCACAACACCATGATCAACTCCGCATCACCAATGAATCAACAAATGGGTGGTGGTGGTTTCCAAACACCTGGTGCAACGTGTGACGTGAACGACATGGAAAAGATAACACTTCTTACCTGGATAATCCTAAACACGGACCTCAACAACATGTTTCATATATTAATATCAAAAGCTTTAAAAGGAATTTTTCACATGACTCTGAAATTTTACGGAGCCTCGATATTTGTAGTTTTTTCTTTAGGAAATCCCCTCCCAAGGCCCTAAGAAGGGCAAATGAGCTATATAACCCAGGGCAGTAATTCTTCAACTTAAACCCAATAGCACTTGCCATGAGGGCTGGTTCAAGTGCAGATCTGAGTCCCACCCCTGCGAGTTTCTGAGTCTGTAGGTCTAGGGTGGGGCCCCGGCGGATCCTCCCACGTCTCAGGAGGTTGTGCACTGGGTGAACATGGCACGTTGGCGGCCACAGCTGTGGCTCTACCCCTCTGTGACCTTGACGCAGAGATAAGTAATGTTTGTTAAGAGAAAACGTGAACTACTGTGAGGAGACAGGGACAGTGGGAGGGTCACCAGAACTCTAGGTCTCAGACACGCAGGTGGTATCTAATCCACCGCATTGGCCAGGGTGTGGCCGGCCGCGACTCCTTCCCCGGAAATGGAGCTGCAGACGAGTCTCCAGGGGTCTCGGGAAGGCAAAGGCACAAGGGCTCGCCTCCCCCAGGCGTCAGGACCCGTTTTAGTCTCCGGGCAGATGGGCGCAACATCCAACCTGGGAGGGGCCCCCAGGCCCGCCGCGCTCCCGCCCGCGTCCTCGTCGGACTTCAGGATGGGGGGGTCTCCGCACACAAAGCGGACCCCGGGCGCGGGAGAATGGAACCAGAACGATGCCGGCGATCAGAGCAAAAGCGGATCGACATTACACCGAGTTCAGGTCGTGGCAGAGGAAACCAGGAGAGACAGGGCGCCACTCACTAGGTGATTCTTTATTACAAGTTGGGGTGTGTGGAGGAAGGCGAGAAGGGGTGACCCAGCCTGGCAGAACGGTCCAGGAGGAGAAATGCGGCTCCCTCACCCTCCCTCGAGCACCCTCCCCCACCCGCGGCTCCGAGCTGGGATGCCGCGACCCCCGCCCACCCGCGGGGTCCCCGCCGCGCCCCCTCCCTGGACACCCCCCAGGCCCGGCCGCAGGAAATGGCGGGGCGCGCGGCGGGCGCGGGAAGAGCAGGCTGAGAGCGGGCGGCCGCGCCCAGTGGGGCGGCGGGGTTGCCCCTGGCCCAGAGGGGGCCGCCGCCCGGCTGCCCACCCCTCCCCTGCGCCGGGCCCCCGGCCGGCCGCCCGGGCTCCCGACGCGCTCACCGCCTTCATGGCGGAGGCCATGTCGTCGTAGCGCTCCGCCTGCTCGGCCAGCCGCGCCCGCTGAAGGAGCTGCTCGCGGTCCCCCATGTCGCTGAGCCCTGCCTCGCCTCACGCCCCGCTCCGCTAGCTCGCCCGCTCGTCTTCTCCGGTTGCAGGGGAGGCCGCCGCCGCGCACGCGCACTGGCTCGCCGGCCGGCCGAGGCTGCAGGCAGCAGGTAGCGCCGCTCGCCCTCTCGCTGGCTCGCCCAGCGCGCTGTGGCTCGCGCTGCGGACGCCGCCTAGGGAGGACAGGCGGCCGCGCGGGGGGATGGGAGGACGAGAGGACGCCTGCGCAGTGGGAGCTGCCGGGCCGGGCGGCGCGGTGCTGCGCGAGTGGGGGGGGGGAAGGGCGGGCCAGCCCTAACGGTCTATTTCAAGGTGACGTCACCTTCTATAAATAGCTGAGGCCACCGCCCCGCCCCAGAGCCGCGCAGGCGCCTAGCGAGTGCTGCATTTTACCGTCGCAGAGGTGGAGGTGGGAGAGGGGAGGGCTGGGGTTGGGACGGCGGAGCGGAGGTGGGGGTGGGGGCCTCGGTGATGGCAGCCGTGCAGTCTGCGCACTGTCACGACCCCACCCGGAAAGGCGTCTCTGAGTCCAGGTTAGAGGTCTGGCTTGAGAAGGGCCCCCAAAGCAAATAAACCTAGTGCTTGGGGAAGCCAGGAGGCCGCGTGCCGGAGGGACGGACGTGCCCCGGACCCGCCCCCGCCCAGCCTGGCCGATGGGTTTCTGGGGGCCACCCCCTGAACTTCGGTCAACACTGGCCGGGCAGGATCAGGTCCGGCCTTTGGGGACAGCCCCATGTACATTCACTCACTGCGTCCCCGTCCTGGGAAGTGGCCTTGTGCAGACTGTGCCCTCCACGGGAGGAGAGACTGAGTGGCCCCGCTGGGACGGGTAAGAGTCACCACACACTTGCTAGGAGATGGGCCGGTGCTAGGCCTTTCCAGGTATGATCCTATTTGATGCTCACAACCCTCCACCCCTGGTGGGCCCTGCTGACTTCCCCATCTGTCAAAACCAGACTAGTGACTTGCTCAAGGTTACACAGCCTGTAAGTGGTGGCAGGTTCCTCCTGTAGCAAAGAGGAGAGTGGACCAGCTGGTCACTGAGCCCAGTCCTGGCGTTCCATGCTGAGGACCCCTGGTGCCAGGCGCTGGTCTGGGTCCCGGACAAGGGAGGAAAATCCCAATCACTAAAGCATGGCCAGACTTAGTACAACATGCCAAGGAGAGTGCAGGTGAAGGGGCCTCATGTTCTCTGAGCATTTTATTGAGCACCTACTGCATGGTCAGCACTGGGGGAAGGAGTAGCCACAGAATAAGTAAGATACAGCCCCTGCCTCTGAGAAGTGGAGGTCTAAAAACCGAAGAGCAGGTAAGCTGGACCTTGAAGGAGGTGAGAGTCAGCGAAAAGGTATTAGGGAGGGGGGTCCAGCAAGGGTGAGGGCTTGGTAGTGAGGATAGAAACAAAATGGGGAGGAGAGAGACCTGGCAGTGGGACATGAGGTGGGGTAGAACAAGATCATGGAATGTTTTCAGTGCCAGGCTGAAGATTTAAGGCTTTATCCTTAAGTAATCAGGAGCCAGAGGCATGGAAGCCATATTTCAGGCCCAGAATCTTGCTCCACAGAGTTAGATGCATTAGAAGGGAGAGGGAGGGACTGGAGAGTGGGCCTTTTCTGGACCTCAGTTTCACCATCTGGAGAACTGGACTTGAAGGACTGTTTAAATCACTGTAGAATAGGAGAAATCCTGGAATGTCAGAGCTGGCAGGACCCTTCGACTCACCACTGTCCAACCCCTTATCCTACATAAGGGGAGAGTGAGGTATCAGGGGGAGGAGAGGCTGACCCCAGTTTGCACAGCCAGCAGAGCTGGAACCTCCATACTAGGTCACCTGCCTCCTGGGCCACCTTCTACCTGCTGTGATGCTACAGTGAGGACCTCAGTACACATGACACAGCGTTTGGGAGGAAACCCCCACCCCAGGCTTCTCCATGCTTTGAGGATTCACCTTTGCTAACTACAAATGGAATCGAGGTTAACAAACCGGGCTGATCTTTCCCCTAGTGAATATCGTTAAAGAGTGTGGTAGATAATAACTTATCATCCACCGTGGGCCTGATGAGGACAGATTCCCGTGAGAGGTGGAGGAGGGCCAGCACTGGGGGGACCTCCACAGTTCCTTCCAGCCCTTAGAGGGATTAGAGCCCTTCTAACTTCTGATCATGTTGGACTGAGATTGATTTCAAAACAGTAAAAATCAGATAGACTGGAGCATTCTAAATAACTGATTTTGACATTCATAAATGTCAAATGGGGGACAACTTTGGTTCGCCCATAAAGCTTTGCTTTCTTTCTCACCAAACTTCACTGTCTCCACCTCCTCACCACCCACCCACCACCCCCACCTCAGCCCAGTGTACTCTGGCTCTACCCCCACTCCATCTAGGTGGCCCTTGCTGTGGCCACCAATCCAAGGTCACTGCACAGTCCTCACTTTCCTGGCCCTCTTGGCTGCACTTGGCACAACTGCTCGCCCCTCCTTGACAGGCTCTCCTCTTAGCTTTCATGACCTTGCACTCGCCTGGCTCCCCTCTGCTGCTCCAGCCACTCCTCTTCTGTCTCCTGTGTGAGCTTGTCTTCTCAGCCTACCTGGAAATTCGGGGGTTCCTCAGAGCTCTGCCCAGGCCCTCTGCCTTATCCTGGGCGACCTTATCCACGCCCACTCTTGAACGGAAGGGGACATCTACCACGTTGCCAGCACTGGGCCAGGTGCTTTGCAGAGATGGGCGTATTTTTTCCTTCAAGATACCCCTGTAAGGTAGGTAGGATTTCCATTCCCATCTTACAGATGAGGAAACTGGCTTGAAGATGTTCCATGTCTTGAGTAAAATCACACAGCTGGTAATCAGCAGAGCCAGGATTCAAGCTCAGTTCTGTCAGACTCCTAGGCCTGATGGCCCCACGATGTCGTGAGGTGTGAGCTGACAAGGGGTCAAGGTGTGACTCCCCTTTGGGGATCATTCAGATTGTAAAAAGCACACACAAGTCTCCCTCTTGTAGCTTATACACTTATCAGCATCCATCTCCTTCACCCTTGGGAGAGAGCTGCCCACTCCCCAAAGTCTTGTAAATAAAGCCAGGATGACCACCTTGGTTAGGTCACCTACTCCCAGGGCTCTATCACCTACTCCCAGGGCTCTAAGTCCTATCAAGCAATGTAGCTTTTGAACAATTTCCAAGAGGGCCTCTGAACCAGGGGAAGGGGGCTGATGATCAAGGTCAGACACACTGTGTGGCCCCCAGAGCTCCGAGCAGGTACCCAGAGCAGGGGCCAAGTCCGCTGCATCTTTACCTGGCAGGGTCTCACTCAGGGAACAGAGCAACACTCTCCCCCCAGCTATCCAAGGACATGTGTGTGATGTGATGGGGAAGAGGATCTGAACTCAGGTCTAAATCCTGCTCTGCCAGTTACCAGCTGAGTACCCTTGGGGAAAAGCCCCTTTTATTTTTGAATTTAATTTATTTTTTTATACAGCAGGTTCTTTTTTTTTTTTTAATTTTATTTATTTATTTTTGGCTGTGTTGGGTCTTTTTTGTGGTGCGCAGGCTGCTCATTGTGGTGGCTTCTCTTGTTGTGGAGCAGAGGCTCTAGGCACGCGGGCTCAGTAGTTGTGGTGCACAGGCCTAGTTGCTCCACAGCATGTGGGATCTTCCCTGACCAGGTCTCGAACCCGTGTGCCCTGCATTGGCAGGTGGATTCTTAACCACTGTGCCATCAGGGAAGTCCTTAGCAGGTTCTTATTAGTCATCAATTTTATACACATCAGTGTATACATGTCAGTCCCAATCGCCCAATTCATCGCACCCCACCCCCAGGAAGCCCCTTTTAAATGGGACTGACCATCCTGTTTCTTAGGGTTGGGGTTCGGCAAGAGCACATTCACACCCTGCCTGCACCACCCATCACAACTGTAGAAAATTCCTTGCTGCACCCCACCCTGAGCCAGTGGTAATGACTGCTTCTCACGCAGGACTGGATTTCCAAAGCGTTGCCAGAGCCCTCTGCCAGAGCCCCGTGAATAGGTGACCCAGAAAAGGCACGTCCTGCTTTTTTCCTCGGGTGTCCTGGGACACTCTGAGCTCCCTGCGAAGTCTGGACGCCAAGGGACGTGTTACAAAGAAGCCCTGGTATTGTTCTGGAGAGATGGCATTCACACTGTCAGCATGGTTACCGGCTTGAGGCCGGAGGGCCACCCACCCACAGGTTCGTGTCACCAGATAGAATTTTCTTTCCCTCCCCGCCCCAATGCAGGCCTCCTGCTGCCCTGGTGAGCCGGCTGATCCCAAGCCGGTGACGATAGCACCACCACCAGGAGCAGCAGCTCTTGCTGTTAATTGCTGGCTGTCTGACTGGCTTGGGGGTAAACACTTGACCCGCCTGTACCAGCTCCCCAAATCCTCACAACTCTGGGAAAGAGGCTGTTAACCCCATCATATCGAAAGGGAGACCTAGAACAGTCAGGTGCTTACTCAGTGGTCAAGGCGGTCACCCGCAGCCTCCCACTCATGGCCACTCTCTGCCAACTGCCTGGGCCCCAGTGTCCTTTCACTGATACCAACTTCCACCCCCTGTGTCTAAGATCAGCCTGAGTGCACAGATTTTAGGATCAGCCAGAGCCTCCCGCCACTCTTTGAAAGCCCGCTTTGGGAGCAGATTGGCTTCCATGGCAGCTTTTGGCATTAAGAAGTGTGAAAATGTCCTGGTAGCTGCAATCTGTGAGCTGGCAGAGCTCAGAGCCCCGTTCTCAGCACCACCCCCCCACCACACACACACACAAGTTTGTTCAAAGGAGCTCAGCTCTGGGGGAGAAAGTGAAGCTGTTGCCTATGGAATCGCAGTTAAAATGAGGGTGAAAAAGGCTTTTGCTTCAGTTCGGCAGATGGTCAAGGAACTTGTGTTTCTTAGCCAGAATTTTCCAGATCATTTGGCTGGAACCATCTGGATAATTGCCTCAAGCTTCTGTGTGGTTCTCACTAGCTCGGCCCAAGTGGGAGGGGCTGTGGTGGTCCAGGGAAAGCTGGAGGTCAGAGCCTGGAGTGCGGTGACTTCCAGTCTCTGAGCCTTGGATTTCCTGTCTGTGAAATGGGAGGCTACACTGGCTTGGATGGCAGAGTTCTGTCTTTTTTCCAGCTCTGAAGGTCTAGGGTATGTCACCACTGGAAGTTCAGCAAATGACATGGCAGCTCAAGAGGGTGAAGCAGGGATGCCTCACAGGCCCAGTGTCTGGACCACATCCATACAAGGAGTGGAGGAAAGTAGCAGGACCTACTCCACAGCAGGCCACGGGCAGCGGGTGGCCAGCACACTCCCACTTGGTCAAGGAAATGTCGGTATTATCGTTCCGACTTTACAGATGTGGAAGCTGAGGCCCAGGGAGGTTAAGTATCTTGCCCAACTGCAGTGCAGAGAGCAGGGAGCAGGAACCCGGATCCAGACCCACTCCACCATCACCATTCTTTCCGTGCCCGCCCCTGACCTTCTGAGCACCTGAAAACGTTCTTTCAGTCTTTGAGCTGCACACATCAACTGCTGTCACCAACTGCTGCTTAAATCATAACCTTGGAAGTGAGGGTGAGGTTTGCTGAGTTTCCACCAAGGTTCCCTGCCAGGCAACTGTGCTACAAAACAGCTTTTCCTCCCCAGTATGTTAGTAGGAGGCAAGCAGGTTTCTACAGCCTTCTGTCTTCTTCCAGACAACAGTGGCGGGCTAGCCCTGACTCAGGAGACAAAGGGATCAGCACCAAAGCCAGAGGAGAAGGCTGACTCCAGGGGGCTGGTCTCTGCAGATAGCCCTGAGCTGCCGCTGGGGTCATAGGTAGGAAGGACACCCTTTTCCCCTTAAAAGATACAAGCTCCTCCACCTGGCCCTTCATGACCTGGCCCTGGCCCACCTTTCCGAGGTAAGCACCTACTTCTTGAACATCCTAGGACCACCGAGCTCACAGAGCCTGCCCACAAGTTTCTACCAACTTTCCCATTCTTCTACCTCTTCCTCTAAGTCTTTAATACCCAGCTGAAATCTTACCTCCTCTAAGGAGCTTTCCCAGGTCTCCACCAAGAAGCACTGTCTCCTTCTGCTCACTCCCACTGTGACTCTGGAATCCACCACCTGCATGGACTTCTTTTGGTAGGATTGGTGTTTCCTGGCCAGCTACTAGGCATCAAGCCCTGTGCTATGCAATTTCATCTAATCCATGATCTCATTTAATCCTCATGACAATTGTGAGGTGGGGAATTCCTCTTGTACCCATTTAAGCAGATGGCGAAAAGGAAGCTCTCTTACCCAAGGTCTTGGAGCTAATAGGGGCAGATTCACTCTTTGTCACTTATACCACCTGCTTCCCACTTCATAAGGAAGTTGGCATTTCCCTCGTAAAATGTAAACACTGGAGGACAGGGCCTGTGTTTCATTCATCATTTGAGGCCCTGGGGTGCCCCTCTTCATGAGTGCTGAATCGAATCTGATCACACCTTGTGCCTATTGCAGAAATGCCACCACAAGAGCCCTCTTTGTGAGTGGCCAAGGCCTTCCAGGAGGGAAACGCTTTAAATTGGCTGATAGCTAACTGACTGGCAGCCTCGTGGAAGATAAGACCGGGGAGAGAGCCAGGGGGAGGGAGGCAAGATTGCAGGGGCTAGGAGGGGGCTGAGAGGAGGAGGAGGAGGAAGTCTCCCGGATGAATTTGGCCACCTTGCAGTTACTTGGAGTATAAGATCTGGAGTTGCCAGACGCGGCCTCAAATCCCAGCTCTTCTGCAGTAGCTGGGATAGCCTGGGCAAGTCGCTGCACCTCTCTGAGCTTCAGTTTCCTCATCCGTAAAGTGGGCCTGTCGCTCATGTTGAACCTCCCACCCCCGGGGCTGATGCCAGGAGGAACGAGGTTGTGGATGAGGGAGAGAGTGGGTGCTGCCTGCCAGAAGCCTGTGACAGTGCTGTTACCGCCTTTATTTAATTAATTATTTATTCATTCATTCATTCATTTTTGGCTGCGTTGGGTCTTCGTTGCTGCGCACGGGCTTTCTCTAGCTGCAGCGAGCGGGGGCTACTCTTCGTTGCGGTGTGCGGGCTTCTTATTGCAGTGGCTTGTCTTTGTTGTGGAGCACGAGCTCTAGGCGCGCAGGCTTCAGTAGTTGTGGCACGTGGGTTCAGTAGTTGTGGCTTGAGAGCACAGGCTCAGTAGTTCTGGCGCACGGGCTTAGTTGCTCTGTGGCATGTGGGATCTTCCGGGACCAGGGCTCAAACCCATGTGCCCTGCATTGGCAGGCAGATTCTTAACCACTGTGCCACCAGGGAAGTCCCCTGTTACCTCCTTTATATGGGACAGTTGGAGAATCAACCCAAGCTGAAATGCCCTCCCTGTGAAACCACTGGGCCCTGAAGGCCTGGGGGCAGCATGGAACTCACAGAATCACAGACTCATACTAAGGATCTTGGAGACAGCTCAGGCTGGCTTTCTTTCTCTGAGAGACAGCACTGCATGATGGGCCGTTAGTCAGCTCTGCCAGTAGATGGGCCTGGCTTCAAATCCAGCCCCCACTTGTATGTGGCCTGGTTCCTCATCTTCAATATGGAATTAAAAATAATTCCTCTGCCACAGCTCTTTGGGAGGATCAGAGACCCAGGCAATGAGAGCTGGTTTTAGTGTTAACTATGGGGAACTGAGGCTCAGAGAAGGAAGAAAATTCACTCACAGTCACACAGTAGATTAGCGGCAGAACAAGGTCTATGCCCAGGCTCCACCGCAAAGCCAAGGCCTGGGCTTGTCCTTGGACAGCTGCAGCCTTACCTCAAAGAAGGCTGAGATGGGGAATGTTGAAGGCTGAGGAATTCACACTGAGATCTCTTGTGATATTCTATGTCTCGCTGAGCTGAGGCCACTGCTTGGGTTGCCTATGGCCAGAGAATGTCAAAAAGCCCGCGTCAGAGCCTGGGATCGTGTGTCCAGCCTGGGGTCTGATCCACAACATTACCCAGGGCTTTGTGATGTCACCCCTCTGAGCCTCAGTTTCTCATCTCGCCAAATCAAAGTAAGCCTCCATGGCACGGTGAGGAATTCTGTGAAGGCACAGAGCTATTTTCATAACAGCTACCGCTGAGCTCTTGTCCTGAATCAAGCCCTGTGCCATCACTCGCCATGGCTTTGTTTGGTCCTCATAACACCCCTGTACAGCGGAAACCCAGCTTGTAGATAAATGGCTGGGAAGGGGTAGAACCAGGGTCTGAGCTCCAATCCTGTTCCCTCTTCCTGAAACACTCACCCCTCCTCTTTCCAGACCTAACTCAGGCTCCTTCTTTGGGTTCAGCATAGTCGTAGCTTCCTCTGGAAGGATCCCTCGGCCACAAGCTGGGTCGGGCACCTGCTCTGGCGCACAGTGCTGGGTCTGCCCCTCTGCGTTGAGACTGTTTCTCCCTCTCCTCCACCAGACGGGGAATCCCATGATGCAGGGACCTTATCACGCTCATGACTGTATCCCCAGAGCCTAGAACTGTGCTTGGCATACAGCAGGTGCTCAATAAATATTTGCCGAATGACTAAAGGCATCGTGCCAGCATCGGGATGCCAGCCAGGCCCCGAGGGAGCAGGGAAGATGGAAGGAAAACTCCTGGACTCCTGCCACGCCTTACATTAGCCGCATCTTCTCTGAGTCCGACAGCCAGCCCCCTGGGACGCCATTTGAGCCAGCTGAATTCCAGGCACTGCTTCACTTTGGAAAGGCAGCCACAGCCCTCATCAAGCAGGCCGGTAATTGACGTCACAGCGGTGCCAGGAGCTGCCCTGTTAATATTTAATGCAGACTCCACTGCGGCAGAGCGGCAGGCTAGAAGGGCTGAGGGGCCTGCAGAGTCCCCAAAGGGTCGTGAGGAGGGCACAGAGGGGAAAGGGCTTCCTAAACCGGAAAGCCCCCAGCAGATGAGCATTACGCCAATGCGTTTCAGCCCCTGGCTTAACTCAGAAAGAGCCAGGGCAGCACGTGCCTGCCATGGAACAAGGAGACTGCTGACTGAGCCCTGGTGATAACTATGTGGGGGATTAGGGACTCCCGGGGACGTTTCCTGGAGACAGTGGAGGACAGAGCCCTGGCGCCAGCCAGACCTGGACTCCACCCCAGGTTTGCACTACGCAGCTCTGTGACCTGGGCAGCAGCTGCACCACTGAGCTCTCAGTTCTCTGATCTGTACAATGGGCATAATGATACCCTCCCTGAGACGCTTTTGTGAGAATTAACATGAATGAATGATGTAAAGGACCCAGCTCATCACACAGTGGGACCTCAGCAGATTCTGGAGTGCCTTCTCCCAAACCAGGTGTGTGGGTGTTTCTTGCATTCATCGGCTGAAGTGATGTTGGAAGGGAAGAAGGAGCAAGGTTTGGACTTGTCACCATGGTGGGGCACCACCCCAGAGAGGCATCAGACAGAGGATGGACAGAGAGCCCAAGATGGCAGGAACAGAAGGGCCCTTTTGGACCATCTCTTCTGATTGAACCCCTCATTTGACAGAGGAGGATGCTGAGGGCCCCAGAGGGAGCAGACCAGCCCAGAGGCTCATGCTGCAGAGCCGGGATCTGACCTGGTCTGCAGTCACCGGCCTGAGACTGCATCCACTGAGGGATTTACCCAAGGCCACCCTCTCAGTGGAGGAGGCAGGTGACATGATGAGATGCTCTGTTCCCTGGCCTCTGCTTCTTTGGCCTGGACAAGGCAGGAGCCTCATCCTCCCCACCTGCGTCCTGGTCTCCCTCCAGCGTGTTTCCCCACAAATCCCGGGAGCTTCACAAAATGTAAATCCGACCACGTCATTCCCTGCTTAAAACGCTTCTGTGGGCCCAAACTCAGGGTTGCCAGGGAAAATACAGGAGGCCCCATTAAAACTGAATTTCAGATAAACAATGGTTTTTTAGTATAAGAATGTTCCAAATACTGCATGCACATAATTATACTTAAAAATTATTTGTTGTGGGCTTCCCTGGTGGCGCAGTGGTTGAGAATCTGCCTGCCAATGCAGGGGACACGGGTTCGAGCCCTGGTCTGGGAAGATCCCACGTGCCGCAGAGCAACTAGGCCCATGAGCCACAACTACTGAGCCTGCGCGTCTGGAGCCTGTGCTCTGCAACAAGAGAGGCCGCGACAGTGAGAGGCCCGCGCACTGCGATGAAGAGTGGCCCCCGCTTGCTGCAACTAGAGAAAGCCCTCGCACAGAAACGAAGACCCAAACGAAGCCAAAAATAAATAAATAAAATACTGAATACATAACTACTTTAAAAAAAATACTTGTTGTTTATCTGAAATTCAGAGTTAACAGGACAACCTGTATTTTTATTTGCTAAACCTGGCAATCCTACGCAAACTGCATTCAGGAAAATGTTGGAGTGTTTAACTGGCCTCCGAGGCCCATTTGGGCCCCAAGCTCATCCTTTCCCTCCGGCTCTTTGCCCTTATTTGAGAATCCTGAGCTCTCCCTCTCCTCTGGCCTTTGCAGATGCTTTCTTCCACTGGAACCATCTCAGTGCCTCCACGCCTCCTGCTGCCCCACCGTGCTTGACCTGACATCCTTCAGGCCTCCGAAGGGTTGCTGCTTCCTCCTGGAAGCCTTCCTGGCTCTCCAGGCCTGGGTAGTACCTCTTCTGGGTTGCCACCGTGCCTTGGGCAGGTCCTCTGTCTGTTCTGGTCCCTTGATGCAGAGTAGGGATTCAGCAGACATTTGTTGCATTTGCTAAATTCCACAGCCCCTCGCGCTTCCCCTAGCAAAAGTTTCCCCTCTTTCATCCAAGTCCTATGTGCTCAGATGTCACCTCTCCTCAGAGAGGCCTTTCCTGACCATCCTGGCTGAAACAGGACACACACACCTGCTGTCCCGCCCCACCCTGCCCCGACCCCACCAGTCACTCCCTGTCCCGTTACCCTGTCTCATCCTGTCCACGGCTTTTACTGCTCTCAGGAATCACGATTTATTCACTTATGGACCCACCGTCCCTCTCCTCCACTGGGCAGCAGCTTCCACAAGGGCAGGGGCCATAATGGCTCGTTCCTTGCCGTCTCCCTAGCATCTGTGGGGTGTCTAGCCCAGGGAAGACCATGCAGACCATGGCTCGTGGTGAACTCGTGGGCCTGTTCCTTGCTGATGTGGGCCTTAGGGGAGCAGAGTGGCGGGCATGAGCTCCCACCTTCCGTGTCCTCCAAAATCAGTACCCTTGGGAGGGCAGGAGGGCAGGCCAGGTGGCTGGCCTCTGTTTCAGGGGCAAGAGCTTCTGGGAGCACAAGCTGAGCAGGAAGGAAAGAAATCTGCCAAAACATTCATTTTCGGCGGGGGCTCAGATTCAGAGCAAGGAAGTCATTGGGTTTTCTCTCCTCTGTGTTGATTGCCAAGTACCAGCTGCCCAGCCACGTCCTCCTGAAGGGTCGCAAACCTGGGACACTAGGCAATGGGAGACAGTGTTGGGGGTACCAAGTCACTCCTTGGCAGCCAAGGATTTCTAAATCCCTAACACAAAGCAGATCCTCTGAGCTTGTCTTTTCCAGCAACAAAAAATAGGTCCAGCCACTGCCTCCACTGAGGGAAAAATGCACACCCAAGAGCAAAAGACTCTGCTCTGCAATGCCTCTTGGAGCTACTGTTCTGCATCAGAGAGCCCATCACACTGTTCAAGCCAGCCTGCTTTCGAGTCAGGGGGCCTCCTGTCTGAATTGTGGCCGCACTGTTGACTGTGTGACCTTGGCACGCAGCCTGACCTTCCTCAGCACCAACCTCTGCATCTGTAAACAGTGGACAGTGAAGACCCAAGGCTGCAATGAAGAGTCAGGCAGGCCCTCAGCACAGCTTCAAGCACAGAGCAATGTTAAACTGATTGTAGTTAACTTACTAGTGTTTCTTCTCCTGTCCATGTAGGGGGATGGACAGCGAGGTTTGCAATGAAACAAGGACCCTTCCTGGGGACTAGAGCCAAATTTAGGAGTTGCCTTGCAGGGACTGGGGTTATGATGTGAAACCCTTGGTCCATGTTGGAGACATTGGAATGCTTGATTCTATTCAGCCGCTGTTCTCTAAACAGATGAGAGGACCCCTCAGAGCATCCCTCCAACCCTCCTGGAGGCCCCCTGGTATGGATAAGTCAATGGTTTGTGGGTAGAGCCCTGACAAGGATTCAGGAGGCCTGGGCTGGAGTCCCAGCTCTGGCACAAATATGCTGTGTGACATGCAACAAATCACTTGCCCTCTCTGGGCTCTGGTGTCCTCATCTATAAAATGGGTCATTCCTCCCTTACTTACCAAACTCACAGAATTGTTGAGAGGATCAGATAGGAGAGTGTTTTAGAAAGCATTAGCTGTTTGATGAATTAAAGGAAGATTGTTACTAAAACTGAAAGGACTACAGGAAATCTCTGTACCTTCAGCTCTGTGCCTTTGCTATGAACCTAAAAGTGCTCTAAAAAACAAAGTCCATTTAAAAAAAAAAAGGAACCCTAGATTTTCCACCAAAAACCCTCTAAAGCCTTTAAGTCAGGCAATATAATGCGGGTTCAGGTTCTAGCTTGTAACTTGCGTGACTTTGGGCAAATGAGTTAACCGCTGGCACTGCCAGAGGTTTGGTTTTCCTTCTGCAGAGACAGTAGCCCTGGAGCAAGAGAAGGACTGGGAAGATGCTGCAAGATACAGGATAGATGAGATGAGGCAGAGAAGCCCAGCAGCCTCCCAACACCCTGGACAACCAGGGAGAAGGGTTCCCCACCTGAATTTGAGCTGAGGTGGGGGCTACCTGTTCCAGTTTGCATCCCCTGCAAGCAGCCCTCTGGATCTCAGCTCCACCCCAGGTAGATAGTGACTCAAGTTGTTCTGCAGAGACTGGTCCCTCTGCCCCTGTTGCTATGGCGCTGCAGCACAGCCTGGCCAATCAGGAAGGAGATGTGTATCTGAGCCTCTGTTGCTAAAGCCGGAGCAGGACGCCCAGCCAATGGGAAGGGCAGCAGAGTGGAGCCACCGTGGAAATCTCAGCCGCGAGATTCCAACCGGGTTTTTGTCTCCATGCCTTATCTGCAGGGGGTGGGCTGGGTTTTCTACATTCCTTTTTTGCAAAGAGCATCTTGCAGCCCTTGGAGGACACCCAGGAGTCACAGCAGGGGTGCATGACCAGAGGCATCTTCAATAAGTCAGAAAGGACCCCAGCTCAGCAGGACACATCTTCAGATGTCCCTTCATCACCCTTCTCCCAGATGCTCAGCATCACCTGTGTCTATGATCTTAGCCCATCCCCACAGCTCTGCCTAGCCCCATCTGTCCTAAGACATGGAGGTAGGCTGCAGAAAAATCCCCACCCCCAAAGTAAGCAGAGGACCATGGGGCTCACCCCAAAGGGTGCTCTTATTCCCTGTAGCTTTGTGGCTCTACACAAACTGTTCCTCCTCTTCTGCTACGTGCAGGGTCGGGCAGGAAGAGAGAGAGGAGGATCAGACACAGGTGCTGCACCTCTGTAAAATCAGAGGATGGGGCAAGCGGGCTCTGTGAGTCCTTTCAGAGCTCACATTCTAGACTCAACGCTATTTTAACCTTCAGGCTCTGGATAAAGGGGATCTACAAGGAATAACTTTCCAAGGGGGAGCCCTGTAAATAATGCCAGTGGACACGAATAAGACTCAGATTGCTTTATGCCCTTAAAATGCCTGACCAGCAGGGCTGTCAGTTGTAGAGCTGAAGCCCACAGGGGTGAAGCTGCCCCCTCAAGGTCACACAGCTACCTGGATGCAGAGCCAAGACTGGAAGGCTAGCTCCCCGGCCCAGCTCTTCAGCCTGCAACGTGCAGCCTCCTTAAACCAGCCTTCTCACCCCTGAGCAGGCGTTCAGGGAGCGGTGCACACCCACACTCCTGACACCGTTATTTTGCAAACACAGACTTAACAACAGCAAGGGAAAGTGTGTCCCACCCCTTCCCTGCGCTCTCCTGGCTTTCACTCTGTTGCCTGGCAACAGTTCCATCCAGAAACCTGGGTATCATCCTAGGCAACTCCCTCACCCTCATTCTTCCCACCACACACATCTCCCCATCATGTCCATTTATCTCTTAAATGGCCTCACGCACTCCTCCCCTCCCCAACCCCTTCCCAGTCCGAGGTTCCATCATGGATTTCCTGGACAACTACATTGGCTTCTCACAGGTCTCCTGTTTTACACCTGCCCGTCCCATCCCCCCACTTCCATTTTCTATAACCATAGCCAGACGGTCTTTAAAAAATACAAATCTGATCATGTCACCTGATGCTTGCTTAGAACCTCTAAGAATAAAAATCGAAATCCTGAACATGCCCAGGAGGTCCTGCATCATCGGGCTGACGCCCCCCAACTTCATCTTGCCATGGCATGTGCTCTGCCCTCTCTGCCTGAAACATTCCCCACCCCCAATACACTTCCAATTCTAGTTACTGCAACTTGCCCGTGAGTTCTCAGTTCAGTGGTCACTTCCTTGGGGAGACTTTCCTGACCTCCCTGTATAGGTTGAATTGCTCTGTTTTGGACTCTCCTGGCACCATGAACTCCTTTGACCTGTAGCACTTACCACAGTTGCAGTTTTACACTTATTCATGTCATTATTTGATTCATATCTGTAAGCCCTGCCCCCCTTGATGTAAGCTTCAAGTGGCTTTGTCTTGTTCTCTGCCTGAAACATATGGATGGATGGATAGATGGGTGGATGGATGGATGTGTATGTATGTATGTGCGTGCTATTGGATGATGGACAGGTGTATGGCTATATGGAAGGATGCTCTTATTTTCCCCAGGTCACTTAGAATCTAATCACATCTCCCTCTATTCTGTGGCAGCCAGTCCTGCTCATACAACATGCACCAAGCATCTCTCATGAGCCAGGAATGTGCCCACAGGGCCATGGGAACCCAAGGAAAGAGATTGCCATGCCCTTGAAATTTAGGTAATAATAATAGCTACTGAACTTCCCTGGAGGTGCAG